TTTGGAAAATAATGGGATCTCTGAGTCTGGATGGACTGTGGGGTTTGACACCCTTAAAAACACAGACCACCGAATTTCCCGTTGGAAGCACCGGATTTTGGTGGTGGATGGCTGGCTGGACGTCCAGGTCAGGTGAGCCAAGACCCTGCTGCAGATTTTTGAGCAGGAGGTTGTTGTCTCATGACTCAGGACGTGTGGAATCCAAAACCTGGATGTGCCTCCTCCCGCTGATGTCTTGGGAAAACCACAGAACTGATGGATGGTCTAAGAGGCTCCACCTTTGGAAGGGTCTGGCTTTGCCTGAGGCCGCTGGGAGCCCTGACAGAAGTGGATTCATTCTCCTCTTGTGTTTCTCCTCCTGTCTCTGTCCATGTGTGACCTGGGTGGCTCCTTTTCCCCTAATTTTTTGGTTGGAGCAGCATCCCAGCACTTCAGGGATGCTCCAGGCTGGAGCCTGAGCAGGTTCTGCAGGAGATCCCACAGGTCGGGGACCTGGTCCTGCTGTGTTTTATGATGCACAACCTCACTGTCCTGAGCCTGGAATATTCCTGGACTATGGAAACAAAATAAAAGAGTGGCGACCTGTCAATAATTTTCATGGAATCCCAGATTCCCAGAATGGTTTGGGTTGGAGGAGACCTTAAAGCTCATCTCGTTCCACCCCCCTGCCACGGGAGGGATGTTTTCCATGAAACCAGGTTGAAGGAGCACATGAAGCATTCCATGTCCTTTCAAACATTTTTCCTGGTTTTCCAGAATCAGACTCCAAAGAAGCTGAGCCTTGGGTACCCTTTGCCCAGCAAGGGACCAGGAGAAGGGTTTTCCCAAGCACTGAGAGCAGAGCTGGTGGTGATGGTGTGACTCCACGGGAAGGGAGGTTTGGGAAGTGTCCTGGAATGTCCCCAGCTGTCCTGAAGGTCAGGGAATAGAGATCCTGGTTGCTTGTGGAGATCCCAAGCTGGAATCCTGGTCCCTCTTTCCATGTTGATTTTTCTTTCCCTCACATTATGTGGGATAAAGGGTTTTGATTGACAGCCAAAGCCCACAAACACCTCCTTTCAGGGCAGGATAATCTGTTTGTCCTGCAAAGCCCAGGTCTTTGTGTGAAAGGGAATTTATTTCCCATCCTTATTCTGGTTTTACTCTGCCTGGGGGCAGAAGGTGAAAAGAAAAGCTGCTTTTCTCTCTCCAGTGTTGACTTGGGAGCAGCTTTATCTTCCTTCACATTCCCAGGATAAACCACTGGAAAGGGCAGTGGGATTTTACTCCAGGCCATGAATAAGAAGAACAAATTGAGATATGCATTTCCTAGTCTCAATTTTGATTTTACTTTTTGGTTTTTTGGTGCAAATGGATGCAGGATTTGTAAGATATTTGGACCAGGAATCAGACAAAGGGAGTTGGAACTGGCAGGTCCGAGAAATCTGAAAACCCTCTTACTCAGTTCTGGGTTATCCCATCTAATAATGTCTCTGATGGAGTTTTAAATTGGAAATCAAATACTGAATTGGGCAAATGTGGACTGTGCAGCAGCTCCAGCACTGGGATGTTGGGATCAGCAACTGATTTGGATGGGATGGCTGAGGGAGTTTGCTGGGTGTTCCCAAAGCAGAGGGAGGTGGAGGTTTGGATGGGAAATCATGGAATTACAGGATAGTTTGGGTTAGAAGGGACCTTAAAGCTCATCTGGTTCCACCCAGGGACACCTTCCACTATCCCAGGTTGCTCCAAGCCCTGTCCAAGCTGTCCTTGGACACTTCCAGGGGTGGGGAATCCACCACCTCTCCGGGCAACCTGTGTCCCACATGGAATTATGGAACACATGGATGTGCTGCCAACCCACCTCTCCTCCAGCCTGGATGGGACAGGAGGAGGGATAAAGGAGCACAGACTGAAAGGGAGCAGAGAAAGGCCTTACAAATCACCCTAAAATGCCCAGTTATGGTTGGAAGGCAGGAGCAGCTCTTGGAGAGCCCAAAAAAGGGGAGATGACCCACGGGAGGAACATGTGGACAACAAGGTCTTCACACTGAGCCCATCTCATCTCATCTCATCTCATCTCATCTCATCTCATCTCATCTCA